AAAGCGCTGGCAGTGTTTTGATTCTTCAGGTGTCCCAGAGGAGTGTGCTGCTGGGCTGTTGTCATGGAAACACCATTATTTTGGGGGTTCTCCAGACTGGCTCCAAAGGTTGAAGGAAAGGAAAACCCCAAGGGGTGGCAGGCACAGGAGGTGAGATTTGTCAGCACAGCAGGACTTGTGATTATCTGAACCAACAGCAAGGCCTCCAAGGTGGATGGGCTGGAGGAATGACAGGGCTGGAAATTGATGCCTCACCCATTGCTCCTCTGCCCTCATTTCCCATCCTCCTGCACTGTCAGAGTGCTCCTGCCTGAGGCTCTGCCTGCAGCAGGGATAGCCCATGCTGAATGCTGGTTACTTTTTACACCTCTCCTGCTGCTGATGTCTGTGTTGCTGTGTTTATCTCAGCTCTAGGTCTCTGCATGTTTTGGTGTCACTGGCAGAGCAAGGTTGACAGGCACAAGGAAGAGCAGAAAGGCAAATCTTCATGTTCTGCTCTCTGTGATGTCAAAAGCAAGCTGTGTAATTCCCACAGAAGTTCTGCCAAGCCTTTAAATTCAGAGGCCCAGGCTCTGCATGCAGAAGGTGTAATGGGGCTGAAGGGCCAAATTAAAGGTTCATAAAATGATCTAATGGAATGAACCACAGGGCTTCAGGGGCACTTCTGATCCCAGTGTGAGTGCATTCAGGACCTGTCCTTGCCCAGCTGTGCCACTCTCCTGGCAATCCACCTTGCCAAGTGTGACTGAGTCTCATCTTTAAATGTGCAAACTGGAGCAGCTTCACAAAGTCCTCACAGAAGCCAAAGCTGCACAGAACACAGCCAACCTCAGACATGGTGTTTGCAGGGTGAGGGGGCACACTCAGCACGTGTTTGCAGAGCTTTGGGAAGCCAGTGCAGGGGAAAGGGAGCAGGGCTGTAACCAGGTGGCTGATCCCAGCCAGGGAGCAGTAGCAGGATGGGCCAAGGAGCAGGGAAGTAACAGCAGGAGCAAATTGCACTGAGGCTCCCATGATGCTCAGGATGTTAAAGGCAAAACTGGCTTCCACTGAAATGGAGACAAAAGCATTTTATCACTTTTATGACCTGCTGAGTGAATATTTTTTTTTTCCTTTAAAAAACCCCAGCTCTTTAAAGAGTATTTTTGTATTTCTTCATTTCCAACTTGGATAAACCCTCTTCTAAAAAATATATTTAATCTCCTTTATTCTGTGTCCAAAAAAACAATGTGATGGTAAGCAAAATTAGTAGCTTGAGTGTCATGAACTTATTAAAGAAAAATGGAGTTGTTTTTTTTACAGGGAAGACCAAGTCATTGAATCTATATTTTACTAAGAATACCATAAGTTGGAACAGGTACAGTTTGTCATATAGTGTTTAAGGACACTGGGTGGCCTTTAAAATTTAAATTGCATGGTTGAATACAAAAAATTCCTTGTTATAAAACAGAAGATGTGGTAGGAAGTGGGAGACTGACTGTGCTGGTGGGACATTTAATGTGCACCCTCAACAAGCCCTGCACAGCACATGTGAGCTGCAATATTAACAAGAAAAGTGTTTTCCTCTTCAAATGCATCATCCAGGTTGACTCTGTGCTCCCTTCCTGCCTCCTGCATGTGACACCCTATTGATTCCTGTCCCCCTGCCTGATGGCACCACCTACCCCTGCCCTCAGCAGGATTTTGGCGTGGCTCAGCTCTGGGGTAGGCGGGTGAAAAGCTTTGCTGGGTGCTCAACTTCCCTGGCTCTTTTGCTTCCTCCTTGTCCCAGCACATCCCTGCCCTGGAGGGGTTTGCTATGGAGCCAGTTCCACCCTTTGTGCCAGCTGAGAGGCTTTTCTACGCTGGGGGAAGCCTTAGAAGAGCTTTTAGGAATAATTTAAATTTTCTTTGATCCAGCAGTTCTGCAGGTAGAAAACTAATGCTGTTAGAGCAGGCAGTAACCAGCATCTGTGCTGGAACCTCTTGGGGAGCAGAAGGGGCTCTTCTCTACCAGGCTGGAATCACTGTTCTGTGTTCCTCCCCTGCCCAGTGCTCAGGGAGGGCTTTAAAAGGGATTGGATTGTGCACAGTAAAGGCAGAACCATGGTTCTGCAGGTGAGCACTCCAAGCCAGTTGGGAGGGCCTTGGAGGAATGGCTAAAATTCACATTCCATGGACTCTGACATGACCCCGTGTCCTCGCTGTGCACTGTGTGCTCACAGAGAGGGTGTTTAGTGTTAGCTGCCAAAAGGCCACTGAAAACTGTTCTGTGCATCTCCTGCCTTTGCTGTTCCATGCTCCTGAGTGTCCTGACCCTGAGGAACCTTGGGGCACTTGGGAAGATGTGGCCATCCCTTACAGGATGCCTTGCACACCACCACGCTGGCACTGACCATCACCACACTAACTTTAATTCTCATGCTGAAAAATGGGGAGCAGGGAAGAAATTCAGGGTGTCACTAACAGGAGTGCCTGGAGGAGAACCCAGGCAGTGCAGAAGGAAGGTTATTAGGGTTATTTCAATTTCTGCTTTATGCTGCTTTTTTCACACTGTGAGTCTGGGGTTGGTTATTTTTCCTGAGTGCTGCCAAAGGCCCAGCAGACACTGTGTTATTCACCAGGTCCATCAAGGCAGGGTATGTTTCATTCCTGTCCTTATTTCAGAGCCAGTTTTGTCTGGGGAGAGTGTCTGTGACACACAGGCACATGTTCATTTAAATACAGCAGCACTGGCTCTGCCTGGTGGGCTGGAGTATTTTTCCCATGTAAGCATCTTGGACCCACGTGTGTCTGTGCTCCTGACTTCAGGTTGGTGAAGGGGAAGAAGAGCTGAATTTCTGCTAAAAGCAATGTCTGTGTCTGAGATCACAGAGAGCAGCACAATCTGAGCTGTGATTTCTGCTTCAGCACAGGAGACTGTACCAACACAGAACATGGAACAGTGTTGTCCTGTGGCTGTTTTCCATTCTGGCATGCTAAAACACAGTAAGACCCAGGGGGGTTTTTGTGGCACTTTCCATTTTTGATTTAGGGAATTTGAAAAATACTTGTCTTGAGGCTGAGCCTGAAGTTATGATCTTGGCATGTCCATATCATTAAATTCCCGTGGATAAAAGCAGAAACATCTGGATTCATGAGTGGATGTTGGCTAAATCCACCAGAAGAAAAAAAAAATCCCTTCAGGGGATCCTAGAGGGTTCTAGCCAGGATAAATAATACAACAAAACAAGAGTGCTATTAAGAATAATTGTAATATTGAAGCTGAATTATAAAATGAGGGCCAAGCCCTTTACACAATCTGCTTTTCCAGCAAAGAGCCCTTCAATTTACACTTAACACACATGTGGCTGATGGAACAAAGGAGAAGTTGAAGGAAGATGAAAGCAGTGCAGAGATTATTCGGTCTTGCTGGTTTAGCTCCAGGCACATCGTTTAAATGAGTAGATGATCAGTTTCCAGTTTGTTTTAAATTTTTCTGGCAAGAAATTTTACGCTCTATCCCAAAGTTGGATGTGCTTAAAACTGTGTTTTTATTTTAAGGGTCTGCCATCTTTTTTATTTCTGCAGGCAAGATTCTGGAAGTGCTCTGCAGGACACACCTGAGGGGCAGCCCAGTTGTGTCACCAAGGGGGTCTTGTCCCTGTTCCTGGCTCTATGGGGGAACAGTTTCTCCTCTTCTCTCACACCTCTGGGAGGCTGAGCCCTGCCATGCTGAGCCACATGCTGTACCTGAGTTTCACAGCACCCAGAGTCAAGGGAAGTGGCCAAAACTGTTCTGTCCCACACACCTGCAGCCTCTGTGACTGCACCCTGTTGTACCAGCACTGCTTGCCTGGTTTAAAGCTAGTGGATGGAGAAAAGTTTTTGTACTGCTTTCCCCTTATGATTTCAGGATTAAAACCTGCTGAGCAGCACATCCTCTGCTGCCCAGCCCCTCCTTTGTGGGTCTCCTCCTTGCAACAGGTCTCCAAAGCTGCCACCAGCACCAGGCCATGCAGGATGTCTCTCTGTGGTGGGCTGGATCACATCCATAGCAGATGAATAAAGAGTAAGTCACACGTTCCTGAAAGTGCCCTGAGAACACAAACCTTTCCCAACCACTACAGTCAGAGCCTCTCATGACCTGGACTTTGTCCATGCAGATCTGCCTTACCCTCACTGACCTTGCCCATCACCCTTCCCCATTCCTGGAAAACCTCTTGGATCTTTGCCTGCTCTGTCTTCATCCAATGCATCTCAGGGTGAGTTTCTTCACTGTGCAATAAAAACCCCAAAGGTCAGTCCTTGTCCCATCCTCCTCCTTTGCTGCCCTTTTCTTCCTGTTGTCCATACCACAGCTGACCTGTGGAGCTCCTGAGGGAGCTGATTTCTTGCTTCCACTCCAGTAGATCCTTCTCCATGGCCAGGATTTAGGATATCCTCCATGGAGATGCTTGTTGGGATGTACTGGCAGTGCTTAAATCTCCCTGAAGGCTGCTGGGAGGCTCTGAATGGTGGTGTGCATGTTTGGGGTGAGGCAGAACTTGAAACATGACTGGGAATACCAGTGAAGCACAGCTGATGATGTTTAGGCTGCCATATGTCCCAGAGAGGGAATAATCCTGTTTACACTCTAAGGAGTGGGAGTTCAATCTGCCTTAAAATAGCCTCAATGTATCTAGGAAATCCATAAAAAGGATACACCAGCATTTCTTAGGACTTTATTTTCAGCAGCTCTTGTTATTTATTTTGCTGCCAACATCTGTCATTTCCTGTGCTGCGTATTTCCCAGCACCCACAGGCTGTGTCTGAGCTGAAAGCTGACAGGACCTAACACTAAATAACGGAGCACTGCTTCCTGTTAGCATCTCGGCCATCAAAGTGAAATGGGGAAATGTTTCTGCTCGTAGATGTTGCAAAATATTTGTTTTAGATTAGCTGCTATCCCTGCCACAGTCCACATTGGCAGCTGTGTCCCTCCACCCAAGTGGGTGGCAGCAGGAAGGTTTGCTGGAACTGCAGGGCTCTGGGCTGAGGACAGATGGTTTGGGGAGCTGAGGAATGAGGGATGAAGCAGAGCTAAATTTAGAACCTGAGATAAGAAAATACCTGTATCTTCACAGTGTACTGTGGTTTTATTTTGGCGGTACAAAACACACCTCGGTGTTGCACGGCTGCTTGCAGATTGTACCGGCTCAAAGGGGGCTCGTGGAAAAAAAGGCTTTGATGTCTTCAGTAAACAAATAGCAGTGTTAAAAGATCTTCAGTTCTTGTTAGCATGCTGCAAACAGCTATGTTTGAAGAAAAATAAACATCCCAAGGTTGATGGAAGGGTAGGGAAGCCATAAAGTAGTGCAGTCAACTCCTTGGTATGAGGACGGCAGAAATGACAGTGCCACGAAGAAACCTTTTCTCTGTCCTTTCGGATTAAAAAGAAAAGAATGAACTGTGTCAAGGCTTACCAGTTAGATGGTGGGAATACATGAGTATAAAACCCCCTTGTGAAATCACAAGAAAAACATCAAGTCCCCTGCAACACCAAGAGTAGGATTCCCCTGGAGATCTTTCTCCAGCTGTTGGGGTGAGGAGGGAGAAGATGCAGCCTTCCTTCATGCCCTGCTTTGACTCTGCTTCCTCAGGGCTTCCCCTGCTGCCACAGGATATCCAACCCCCCTGAACTCCTGCAGCTGTGGGGCCTCATTCCCAAAAACCTCCTCAGCTTTTATGCTGGGCAAAGAGCCAGTTGCCAGGAGGAGGCACCAGGTGTGTGTTGCACCCTCAGTGAGGAGGATGAGGATTCCCCAGCCATGTGCCTACCTGAGCTTGTACTCCTTAAAGCTTGTTGTGCTTGTTGTCTCACTGCATCACTTGGAACATCCTTCTGGAAATGCAAAAGCTTAGGTGAAGGACCAAAGAAAAGCACTGGGCAATTATCACATTAACAACCAGCACAAGCTGGGGGATCCTAATTTACATCTATAACCCTTTTAACAATCCAAATCAGGGTAAGAAAGAGAAAGTTTGGGGGCTCTCTGAGAAGGGAAATGAAAAATCAGCAGGTCATGATAATAATCAATATGCCAATATTTACTGCAAATTTAAATCTTATCAAGGGCCTCCAGGGAGCCTCTGGCTTTAGTTCCATGTAATTCCGAGCATTTCTCTGTTTAAATATAGTTCACAGAAACTAGGAAATAAATAATTCAGATGTAGTTGACTTTTTAATGCCTCTGTAGGATCACTAACATCTTTCCTTTGATAACACTTTTGTTCTGCCTACCAAAGGCCCATTCTAAATGGGTCTGGTGAGACTCCATCCAAAGAATCAGAGTTTATGTGAAAAATCACAGGGGAAAAGGCAGAAATCCAGAGGGGAAAAAATAGAAGTTTATAATCCCAAAGGTAATAAGTATCCCTCTGGCAACTCCATACAAGCTCTTCCCTTCCTTGTGACCCTCTTCCTGCTGGATTTACAGGGAGGGTTTGTCACCAATGCAGAGGCTGGGATAGCTCATAATAAACAGCAGCTCCTTAGAGACCGTAGCCATGGCATGTGAGAGCTGTTTACCTGGCACCACAAGCACTATTCTGTTTGTCTTCAGATGTTCCTACAGAAACAGAAGGTTTTACACTCTGGTAAATAAGGTTCCTTCACCCTCAGGAATGTTTTGGTTGTTTTTTTTTTCCAAATGTGCTGTTCTTCCCTTTCAGCTGCAGAAAGCCCATCCTGTGATTTCTGAATTGCTCTTTAACCTGCCTCCCCAAGAGGAAAGACTGCTTCCCAGGGCAGAGAGACAGGACTTGCTGACAGCAGCTGAGGTGGCTGTTCCCAGCACTGACCTGCCCATCCCAGCCAGCACAAATCCAGCCTCTGCAGGACAGGGATGTGTCCTCTGTGGGACAGTTACTAGCTGTGTAATGTGTGTGTAAGAAGTTGACTTAGAGGGAATAGGCTCTAGCTGGTAGTTTGAGATCAAATGAATCATACCCCTAATGCTGTTGGTGCCTTTCACTGACCCAAATCTGCAAGATGAGGGCTCTGAGACCCTTGAGAGATGCTTTGAAGGTGGGAGGTCACTCTGAGGATCTGCTCCTGGGCACGAGGTAAGGCCTTTGGTTTTACAGGGGTTAGAGCAGGGCACCTCCCATCGCCAGAGCACTGTTTCTGCCACAGCAAATATTTTGATTGCAAGAGCCAAAGCCATTGTGTACTTTATCATCTTCAATCTTATCCTCAAACTCATTTCAGACCCATCAGCCAGGGTGACACTGGGCACAGCCACATGCCCCAGAGCGTATCCTGTTTCTCCTAAAGCACACTGGGATGGGATGATTGTGCTTCAGGCCAAGCCTGTGTGCACAGTGGAGGCACCTTGGGCTGCTGAGATGACAGTGTCTCCTCTGCATGCTGGGGAAGGCAGGGTGGCAAACCTAGAAGGAATTTTGTAATTAAACTCACACTTCTGAAGATCCCTTTGTACCAAGTTGACCCCATCAGGAGGAATCCAGCACTGAGCTGATTTATAGAGGGCTGTCTGGAGTGTGTTTGTTCAAATAACACCAGCCCCCTTTACCAAGCACTGTTTTATTTCTAGTTAAATTAAAACACAATTAGCAGGGCTTGCAATTTTCTTAAATTTGCCTGAACTTCAATGACATTAACACTAATATCTGTTCAGTGTGCAAGTCAATAAAGTGACACGTGGAAAATTGCACTTTCTTGACTCAGCAATGCAGCTTGGAGGATGACTTCATGCCCCTGAATGAGAGGATCAGCATGCCAGATGCACTTGGTGCCTGACCCCTTTACAGGCTCTGAAAGATCACACATCACTTTAAAATGTCATTTGATGCATGTAGGAGGAAGAAAGAGTCTGATCTTGCTTCGTGTTACTGAGCTGCTGTTTAATTTTGTTAGGGTGGTGTGAATGTCTTAATAACATAAAACAGAGCTCTGATCTCTGGTCTGGCTGTGTGTTTCCAATAGACACCCTGATGACTTTTTCAGGGCCAGAGTGGGTAATAATCTGTATTTTCTTGCTATTAATTATAAGGCTGTTTTTCATTCTGATTTTAAACAAGCCTCTCAGCGTGGCTGACAAGCTTGAAGTCCTCACTTCCAGTCAGGCATTGAATTCTGCTGAATTGTTTTTTCTTGAGGCAAAAGCAACAAATGTGAGTATGGAATTAATACCTTTTAAAATTGTGGTTGTGTTTCTAAGCCACAAAAGTCAGGTGGTAGTCAGCCTTTCCTGCTCTTGGCCCCATTCTGTGTGATAGACTTGAATGTCCTTTCCTTTTCCTTGTCTAACTGCTCACTCCCAAAATCCTGCTGAAGAGAATCCAGAGAGTGACCCAGGTCTCTGTAATACCATAGCAAATTATATAACAGAATTTTGTACACTTCTATTTTTTTCCTCTCCTCCAGTGCATTCCACGCACCTACACAGTCGCACTAATTAGATCACGTAATAAACTTAAATGTGGCAAAAAATCTGTTCACAGGGGGTTGCAAGACAGCTGGACTTGGAAAACAGCCAGTCATTAATTTTGTTTTGTTTGAGAAAATCTAAAGGACATTGACATTATCTTACTGAAGATGAAGCAAACTTCATGTAGTAGGAGCTGTAATCTAAGTAGACAAATTATTTCATTTAAATAGTCCACAGTGAATCTTGATGTAAAGGTTTGTTTACATGAAAAAACATATCTGTGAGTTTAACAAAGTCATTAAAAATTAAACTAAAAAACCTAAACTAATGTTAAGTTATACTTGGTTAGTTTAGTTAAATTAAAGTACTCAAAACTAAATGAATGCTCATCCATAATGGATACCTACAGAAGAGTTAAGTAGCAAGAACTCTACTTTGAACCTCAGGTGTCTTTTATTTAAAAAGAGGTGTCTGCATGAGATATGAACCTCAATCAATTTTTATTTTTTTTTTACTAGATTGTCCTAGTGCATAATACAGTAATCCCTGCATTTGTGGGGAAATACAGGAGGGTGAAAGCAGGGCTTGCTCTAAGACACCACTTACAGTGGCAACTTTACACTTGCACACTCATTTCTAGGGAAGGGAATAACTTTCAGTGCTCTGTCAGTTTGACATCAGTGATTACTGGTAAAAGGATCAGCTCCAAGGTAGGAATCACTTCCTTAATTTCAGTTCAGATGGTAAAAGTTTTGGCAATTGTTGTGCTGAATCACATTTAAATCTGTAGCTTTATTGAGCTGGTGCTTAAGTAGAATCCCAGTGATTCTCCTGATGCTCCAGGCAGGCTGGGAGCACCTCTGCAGAGCTAACCCAGGCAGTGCCATGGAGCTGACACTGTAGGGAACACAGGGGAGAAGGAGCTGGGGCCAGGCAGTGGTGTCATGGTCCAGGAAACACTTAATTTCTTCAAAATAACATTAACAAAGCATGTGATAACTTCCAGCTATATTCCTGATCAACACTAGATGTTGCTGTGCTGCTACTCATATAAACTATACATTAGAAAGGTTTTTAAACGGTATTTACTGCTATTTCCTCCTTGTTGTTTCTGTTAGTTGTTATATCCTGACACTATGTGCTGGGGAAGTGGTTACTTTAATTTACTTTTCCTTTGAAGTTTCAACTTTATTTGGATAATATCAAGTTTATAATTCCCCCTCGAATGCACATGTAAAACTTTACAAGAAAAAGAGACTCTTCAAATGGTACCATGAAGCAACTCCTATATGAATGTCAAATATTTACTTAACTCTGCTTCTGGATTCTTTGCAATCCAAGGGGAATGACATTGTTAACCGGACGATTCCGGGAACAGACTGACAGCTGCAAGGCCATGGAGGGAAGTTTGTTTATAAGGGGACAAAAAAAATATAAAAAATAATTTAAAAAAAAAATGTTTAGTCCTGCTGGGTTTCAGGCTTTCTACTCCCACGTGTTTGAGTGGGAGAAAGGACAAATCTTAGGACGTTGATTTCCCCATGGCAACAGAAAACGGAAATTACTTTAACCCCATCTAGTGACAGATGACTCATTGCTCAGCCTGCTGCTATTTTCCAAGCACTAAAACAATACAGCTGCAAAGAAAAGGCCAGCCTGTATTATCTCATAGGCTGAGCACCAGGCTCGTGGGAGAGGGCAGTTCTCTGGCTGCCTTTCTGTCGAAGAAAGGCAGAGCTGGAGCCTTTTGGCTGTTCTTTCACTGTGTAAAGCAAACGTGCCTGGGTGCCTTCCATCCCCGAGCTGCAGGAAGGCAAACCCAGGGTGTCCCCAGGATGGAGGTGATGTGCTGGTGGGTGTCCTATTGCTTGGTCCTGCTCTCTCTGGATATCATGGAATGGTTTGGATTGAAAGGGATCCTAAAGATCATTTTCTTCCAACCATAGCCAGGGACAATTTCCACTAGACCAGGCTGCTCCAAGCTTCCTCCAACCTGTTCCTGGAGCCTTCCAGGGATGGGGCAGCCACAGCTCCTCTGAGCAACCTGTGCCTCACCACCCTCACAAAGAACCTTTTTCTGATCTATAGTTTAAGTCTCTTCCCCTTTCAGTTTAAAACCATTCCCCCTTGTCCCATCTTGCACCCAGGGATCTGACAGGACATCGCCGTGCTTTCAGTTTAAATACAAGAATGACTCGTTCCCAAATACAGCCTGGTGAGGGGATCATCCCTGCAGGGATGAGCAGGGTTTCCAGGCCCCTGAGTACCAAAAAGCTAGCTGATGGCAAAAGTGCATTCTGTATTGCTGGGGAAGTCAACAAATTCCCCAAGAGGATGCTGTAATAGGAATATTCATCTTTGAAAGCTTATTATGGGTGAAAGGTTGGTGTCCTCTCTTCTTGCTGGTTTTCCCAAATCCTAGTAAGGATGCTGTAAGGCTCAGAAGTGAGGCTGCTAAGGCTTACTGAGACTAAGATTTGTTTTGTGCATAAGACATTACACTGCTATATGGGGAAGGTATAATGCTACCCCTGAGATGACAGACTGAATAAGTGGTCAGTTAACATCACTTTATTCACCACAAACTGGGATCAGACGTCACAGCATTAGGAAATACAGGATTCCATGAAAACTGCATGGTGGGATGGTGTCATGGGATATGTGAATCATTTTTTTCTGGGAAAGACAAGCTGAACTGCTGGTACAATAGCTGAGTCTTTACTTGGTCTTGTCATTTATATGCTGGTATGATTACCTTTCTCTTTCTAATAGCAGAAATCAGGTCCACAAGGTTCTGTTTGGACAACATAATTAACAGAAAGAATAGCTTCATTACCAGGTTGTTCTGGAAACCAAAATCTGCCTTAGTGGCACAAAGATTATCTTCCTACAGGAATCAACACATACCAGTGTGAACTGCTGCCTAAACCCAGGCCTTGAATGAGGGCTCCAGCAGCACTCTGCTATCTGTTTGTTATCTGGGAGCACCCTGGGGTTGGCTACAGCTGTCCCAAAAACCTCATGTCAACAGCAGCTG